GGGGGGGGGGGGGGGGGGGGGGGACTTAACAACTACAACTCCTTGAAGTTGATACAAGCAGCAAACAGAAAGGACATTGTTGCGTGGGAAGGGGGAGAGGGAGGAAGGAGAGGGTTTTTGTTAAAGGACCACAATAATCAACCTCATTGTATATGGACAAAATTTAAAAAATAATAATAAATTTTTTAAAAAAGAAAAAAAATTAATAAATAAAAATAAAAATAAAAATAAAAATAAAAAAGGGCCGGCCCGGTGGCGCACTGCTACAGTGCGCCGCTTGGGAAGCATGGCTGCGCTCCCGCTGAGGGTTCGGATCCCACATACAGACCGGCCGCTCACTGGCTGAGCAAGGTGCAGGCGCAACACCAAGGGTTGCGATCCTGTTGCCGGTCCCGGTCCGGTACGGGCACGACACTGAGGGTTGCGATCCGTTGCCGGTCACAAAAAAAGACAAAAAGGAAAAAATAAATAAATAAATAAAAATAAAAAAAAAATAAAAATTAAAATAATAAAATTATGTACCAGTAAGTAATATACTAAAACTCCATAATAGTGACTATTTGAGGAAAAGGTCCCACATATTAAAGCTAATATAATAGCTGCTGTTTACTGAGGGCTTACCATTGTGCCAATGTGCTTAAATAAGTATTTAACATATATTATCTCATTTAATTCTAGTAAAACTTATGAAGTTAGTACTATTGATTCTGTTTCACAGATGAAAAAATTAAGATTCAGAGAGCTTAATTAACCTGCCCAAAGCACACATTTAGTCTGTGGCAAAGCTGAGATTTGAAATAAGACTGATTATGTACCTCATCAGTTAGGTACATAAAGTTACACGATCTGATCCACATTATAAATACTTCTGAGTAGAGGTGGCTACTTGTAAATATAATTGTACTGAATTTTCTCATACCTAGCACTAGATCACTCAGGGCCAAACTTCTTCCCCAGACTAAGCTGAGTCATCCTATTTGCATTCTCTTAGATTCTGCCTTTTCAAGGTGATAAGCAGATAATATAGTCTAAGATAGTGAATAAGCCCTATAATACAGTGAAAAAACAGTGAGACTCGGGCCGGCCCGGCGGTGCAGGCGTGACACCAAGGGTTGCGATCCCGTTACCGGTCATGAAAAAAGACAAAAAGGAAAATAAAACAAAAAAACAGTGAGACTAGAATTGGAAGATCTTAGCTCTAGTACTGGTTCCAATATTTACTAGTCAAGGGGTCCTAGGCAAGTCACTTCACTTTTTTTTTCTGATTAGTCACCTGACCTAACTAACTAACTAACAAACCTAATAAAATACTTTCTGCCTTCTGCAAAGGATTTTTGGATGCTCAAATGAGATATGACATGAGATACTTTGCGAACTATAAAACCCAAAGGGTATTATTCACTTAAGAGAACCAGAAGGGCCAGACCGGTGGCGCATTCGGTAGAGTGCGGCGCTTGGGAGCGCGGCGGCGCTCCCGCCGAGGGTTCGGATCCCATATAGAGACCGGTCCGCTCACTGGCTGAGCGTGGTGCGGGCGCGACACTGAGGTTGCAATCCCGTTGCCGGTCGCGGTACGGGCGTGACACCGAGGGTTGCGATCCCGTTACCGGTCACGAAAAAAGACAAAAAAAAAAAAGAGAGAGAACCAGAAGAGGATATCTCCCAAATGAAGTCCTTATTCTTTTCCCCTAAGACATACTCACATATTAACAAATAATCTACCTGGAGACAAATGTCATGTCTAACATGGAGAAATGGAGAAATGGTGGGAAATTCAGGACAAGTAAGAAGGAAGGGTGGCATACCATAGGAAACATGTTTTTGGGCCAAGCAGAACCTTGCAACATTAATCAAAAAATCAGCTTAACCAAAAATATCCACTTAACACAGTGATTAAGCAATGAGCTTAAGCAATGAGTTCTAACAGTTTTCTGCTGCATGATGCTAGCAATTCCTCCTATACTTTATTATGAACACATTAAAATCTTTTAAGAGAAAAGATAGTTTGGTTAATACCTTATTCCAGCCGCTGGCATGAACTGTGGTCTCCAGTGTACATTCCCGATATGCCTGATATGTCACTGGCCTGTAAAGATTTTTTTAAAAGTCTGTGTCACAAAGAAGGAAAATTCTAAATTTCCAGATGAATAAAAATACAGTCACTAATCTGTTGAACTTGGAGTGACAAGGATATTCAACATATTGTTTTGTACAAGACATGGTTTTTAACATTTGATATGCATTTTTTTTCAAGCATTCAATAGGCTGAAACACATGCTTGGGAAAATAGTAAATAATATGACAAGATAAATGTATATTCTAATAAATTTTTTACAACTGCATGGAACTTATCTGGCAGGATTTCTATGCTGCAGATAAATACTTGGGCTATTAATATAGAATAAAATAATAACAAATAAAAAAATGATCTCAGTGAAATTAAAAGCACAATTTTAACTTTTTTTAAAGGCAAAAATTCTAAAATATTTAAAAACTAGAGAGATATGTCACTGGATGACTTCAAATTGAGGATATAAGGAGCTGGAATAAACAAGGGTAACAAACGAAGCCCAATTTTTAACTTGGAGTCTTATGATATAAAATCCTGGAGGGCAGAGAGATAAGCCTTTCTGATCACTTGCATGTAAGTCCCAGTCATACCAAAAGCTCAAATCACTGAGTGATAAGAACAATGCTCACTAGGGCCGGCCCATGGCTCACTCGGGAGAGTGTGGTGCTGATAACACCAAGGCCACGGGTTCGGATCCTATATAGGGATGGCCGGTTAGCTCACTGGCTGAGCATGGTGCTGACAACACCAAGCCAAGGGTTGAGATCCCCTTACTGGTCATCTTTAAAAAAAAGAAAAAAAAAGGAACAATGCTCACTTACTCATTGAAGGAGTTTACTATATTTCAAGTATTGGTTTCATGTGTACATTAAAAAACAAACAAAAAAACTTTGTTCCAAGTAATACATGAAGGCATTAATAGCTTGGATAATAGATTTAATAAAATGTACCTCTCCTCTTTTTGGGCAAAGTTTTAACAGACATGTGAAAAAGGGTGGAGGGATACGGGGGCGCACCAAATCCAAGAAGCCAGAGTTTGACAAGGATCCTCTGACTTGACACGATGCTTGCAAGGCCTCATCGTGGGAGGAGGTGCCGCCTTTCCACCCTCATTTTTTGGAGCTTCGTGTGCTTGCTTTGTCTTATTGTATTCTATTCCTTACTGCCTCATAATTATCGCTCTGGGGGGATTGGGAGTGGGATTGAGAATCATACCAGAGTGCTTAACCACACTTATGACACTCCTGGGAGTTATGGTCATGGGTTTTCTGGAGATGGTCTGTGGCAGCTAGGACCAGAAGGGGACAACGAACCTATGTAAACATTTACCTTGTCTGCTTCCTGAAAGGATTTTTTTAATGCAATTAGTGAACATAATGGAGCTGTTATTGAAAATTTACTCAAAAGTTGCTAGGCAACATAACTACCACTATACCTAACTTTCTCGCCTCAAAGAGTCAAACATAAACTTTCTTTTCCTCCTAGAAATATAGATTCAAGTTAAGTTTTAGAATATCTTCATAAGGCCTAACACATTATAGGATGTAGTAGGTAAAAAGAAAATCTTAATTTTATATTACAATATGTTTTAGTAATGAAAAAATATTGAAGGGAACTTTGACTTCCTGCTTGCATCTTTTAATAACGTCATACAGAGTTCAATGTAATGTAGATTTAACTAAAGTAAATGTAACAATTGATGATTATCTGGGACCAGTGGGTTGTAATGTTCTTGTTCAAAGGAAAGAACATTGTGGTTGTCTTTTCTGGGAACATATTGTAGTATTATTTTTCTTGGGAACACATGTTACTCATAAAAAGATATTATGATATTGTTCAATGATTATTTTGCCTCTAAGAAAAGATATAAAAAGTGTGTGTATGCTTCAATAAAGTGTCAGCATTCAGCAGATCTCTTGAGTCTGTGTGTTTGCTGTCCATTCCATTGCCGATGCTGCCCTTCCTCCCTTTTGGGGGATTATCAGTGAGGACCCCACGACCCCTGTGCTAGGGCTGGACCCTGGCAGAGGGAGTCTTGCTTCTGTAGGATTATGTAATCCCATTCCATAAGTATTTTCTGTCTGACCAGTCTGGTCTGGATCTCTCCAGCCTACAAATATTTAAGATTGATAACAGCTACCATTTATTGGTTGTCTCCTATGTTAGGCTTTATATTTTTATATATTTATACTTGATAATATACAAATATTACATATATCATTTTACACAATGGGAAACCAAAACTCAGAAAAGCTAAGAGACTATCTCAAAACCTCATAACTGCCAAGCAGTAGTGTGGGAATTTACACTCTGTTAGATCTGGCTCCAAAGCCATGCTATTCCCATTTCAAGTTAGAATTTTGATATATGCCATGATAATGTCTAGATGCCACATGTGGCTAAGCATTTAAAATGTGGCTAGTGTTGTGCTAAAAGTGTAATATCACAATGAATTTCACAATGGCCCAAATAAAATATATTATTAAAAATTTTTAAATTGATTAGATTAGCTAGCCAGTTAGCTTACTTTGTTAGAGTATTGTGCTGAAAACACCAAGGGACTAAGGTCAAGGGTTCAGATACCCTTACTGTCAAGCAACGCCCCCACTAAAATCTTTTTTTTAGTGGCTACCAGAAAATTTTAAATTACATATATGTGACTTGCATTATATCGATTGCACAGCACTGGTCTAGATATTTCAGAAAGCAGTTTTGGTTTATATAAAATCAATGCTACAGTGATGCGGAAAGGAGATGAGATACCAGGGAGGACCTTTATAATGATGAGATGTACAGACTTGTACAGAGAATATACTACACTTCCTGACATCACATTTCCATTAAAGTCAGCTTAGTATTTTTTTTAGAAGCCTTGGGCTAAATACTAGATTCCTGTAAAACTTGAATTTCAGCAGACACTATATAGTCTACCTACCTATATTTTCCCTGAAGCTTTACTTGTGTAAATCAGTCCCTTCACTTCCTTTCCTGAACTATTTGATGCTACTATGGGTCACAGTAGTCCTTACTGGTAGTATGCCTATCAGGCTAAAGTACTTTAGCATCTTTCAGAATGAAACATGATGTGAAACATTATATGTACAGATGTATATACAAATATAAGATGCAGCAGATTAAAACATTCAAAGGAAATCTAATATACAGAAAAGTAAGTAGCTCAATAACCAGCCCTACCTAATGTGCTATTAGAAAAAAGCAAAGAAATAAAAGGGAGGGGGATACCTTTTGAAATTGCTGGTGTTCTTCTACATAAAGAGTTGAGGATTAATTTCCCACTTGAACAAAGCCATTTAGGGGAATAGGTGGTATTTTCAACTTTGAGATATTGCCTTCAACCTGTATAATATTTCTAGTTCATCATCAATTAGTTATTTTCAAGGCATTAGTCAACAGAGCTTAAAACTTTCAAAAGTAGATTTCTGAAAAAAACATATTCATACACAGACCTGATTTTGATATGCAACCAGTTTCAAAACTAATTATATCAGTATGCAGTATTTGGGAAAAAATAAATATTCATCCAAGCCAATTTTCTTTTTTTTTTTTTCTTTCCTTTTTTGTCTTTTTTATTGACTGGTAACGGGATCGCAACCCAGCAACAGGATCGCAACCCTCGGTGCAACGCCCGCACCGCGCTCAGCCAGTGAGCAGACCGGTCTCCACATGGGATCCGAACCCTCAGCGGGAGCGCCGCCACACTCCCAAGTGCCGGACTCAACCGAGTGCGCCACCGGGCCGGCCCTGAAAACAGAATCTTTTGCCTACACCTCTCACTTAGTTATTTTACCCCAAGTCCAATAGCTTTTACAATTTTTTTTTGAGGGGGGGAGGCAAAGCAGCAAATTTCTTTCCTCAAATCTTACATGTAACATCAATATACAAAATATATGAAAGTGTAGGTGTTCTGGTTTAAGAAGGTGGAAAGGTCCTAATGAGCCCCACCCACTTAATCTATCCTCACCTCTTCAGCGGCACCTGCAGCACCACAGTGCCTGAGGCTCTATGGAACACTGAAAACCACTGCTGTCAATCCAAATTTCCTGTTCAAGTTTTATGTCCCAACACCCATATCCTTCTCTCCACATGTATTTTTAAACTTCTCATGTAAGGTTAAGAAAAGTCAAATATGATTTCATTTCACTGCCTAAGTGTACGTAGGATTTTTACATTTGCTCATTTCATCAGAATACTACACGGAAACAAATTGAATTCTCTTGAAAGCCAAATTGCTTCCTTCTAACAACTGGAAAACTATAAACTATGCCTACATGAACGTAAGGAATTACTTTGCTACAACAGTAATTTGGCATCTGAACTGTGGCCCTTTTAGTGAAGAACAGCCTTCATCCTGTTTTATAAAGTCATCATTCTTCATTAAGACAAATATTTTTTTCTAATTCATACCAATTCCTTAATGATTCTCAGCAAATAATTAGGGGAAACTGATTTTTAAGATTTTACAATAAATGATTTGGTTCTATTTAATATACTTTCATTATTGCTAGCTTCTTGCCTTTTGCTTTAATATTGTCAGGACCATAGCTAGGACAGAAGTTCCTACTATAAGAATGTGGTAGTTCCATAGGCAGATGTGCAACCCCAAAATTTAGCAACATCTGGGATACAGACATAATTTTAAATACAGATATCATGTTAACCCTATTTTACAAGGCACAAAACCCTAGACATTATATTTATGTTGGTTACTAGAGGGAAAGGTAGTAAAAAGTGGTCAGGCAAGTAAAATAGCTTGTATTTACAACTCAGTAAAAGGATTTGTTGAAATACTTGATAGTTCAACAAGTAAATACAAATGATCAAATCTATGTTGGAACACCTAACTCACTGCTTTGATGCAAAGTTATCATTCAAAACACAGAGATGCTTTGGGAAAGAAAAAGAAAAAGTGAAGAAAAGTGAGAAAAGAAGCAACACCGTTCACCTAAAACAAGCCTTAACCAATCCAGCGCTGCATGAGAGATCCAGAGACTACTTAGAGAAGCACATTCCCACTCAGCAATGGTAACTCACTGGCTGAGGAGCATTTGCAATGCTTTATGTAGAGGCTCTTTCAATTCCCGTGACACTTTTTCTCCAAGGTGAGCCAAGCAGTCTTCTATTGAGCTTTCTGGGTTAGCAGGGCTGAATACTGGAGAAGTGTGACGGTCAAAGCCTGTGCTGGTAAAGGCTGAAGACAGGGCAGAAGAAACACCTAACTTAATAAAGATATCAGAAGTTGTGCTATAAAAGCCCAGGAGATTAAGACATCTACTATTAGGAACAAGCTAATAGTTATATAATCATTACAGGTATTAATCTCTCCTGGAACACCAAAATTGATAGGTCCTATATTTAGAGGGTTTTTTTAAAAAAGGAAAGGTTTTAATGAAAAACGTTAGTTTTAAGAGAAGAAAATGACTAAACTGACATGTTAAAATACGCTAACCAATTTGGTTTATTACTACTGACCAATCTACTTTAAGAATGATAAATGAGAGGAAACCCCTGGCTCTATCATCCTTCTCTTAATTGTTTTTACCTCTATGAATGTGGCACTTCTTAAGCCAACTTCAAATCACTTTATTACACCTTAGAGGATGACTTCATTGCTTTCATCCCCTTATTAATAAAACAAACTTTCACACTCAATATTCCTGCACATGGATAAATTTTAAAACTATGAAGGTTATAGAAGTATACAAATTGAACATGGAAAAAAGCAGTCATAAGCTATTCCTACTCAGTTCAAACTACTAGCTTTCATCTGCTTCCTAACCCAATGTTATAAAGACTCAGCCATCCCCTAACTGCAGGAATAACTGGCAAAATAACTGTTGTTCCAGGGTACAAAATAGATGCAGAGCATAAAATCCCAGTAAAGCAAGGAGCGTGCACCCACTCCCAAGATTTATCAATCACCTTCATAAAATATTTACTGTATTCATCTGAGACTTGCTCCTAGAAGGCTGCAAATTTTATTATAACGTATGGATTTCTTTATAAAGTGCTTGCCTCCAAGAAAGAAGCAAATGGCTGCAAAGTTTGCAAATATTTTGTTGTCTAAGCAAACTTGAGAGCATCCATTCTAATGATCAGCCTTGGATAATATGGGGTTCAATAAGTGAACTTTGTTGAATACAGTAACTTTTATTACTTTTTTCCTTTCTGCCGTCTGCCCATTTTACTACACAGCAGTACTGTTATCAGAATATGGATGAAGGCTTAAAAGAGAATTAGAAATTTAATCGGTTAAAAATGTTGATAATGGAATATAAAAGAGAAGACTAACATTAGGTTTCTGGATTATTTGTAAATTTCTATTCATATTCTTTCTCTACTGATTTATAAACATGACTTATAATTGTGCTCATTAAAAATTATTGGGCAATATATGTCCACACAAAAACCTATACAAGAATATTCATAACCGCATTATACATAATCAACAAAAAGCAGAAACAATCTAAATGTCCATCAACTGATAAAATGTGAAGGCTGGCCGGTTAGCGCAGTTGGTTAGAGCACAGCCTTGTAAAACAAAGGTCAAGGGTTCAGATGCCCATATCAGCCAGCCCATAAAAAATAAATTGAAAAAAGGAAAAAAAAAAAAAGTGGTATATCCACACGATGGCATATTATTCGACCATAAGAAGTAATGAAGTACTGATACCTGCTACAACATGGATGACCCTTGAAAACATGCTAAGTAAAAGAAGCCAGTCAAAAAAGACCACATAGTGCATGACTCCATTTATGTGTATGTCTAGAACAGGCAAATCCATAGAAACTGAAAGTAGATCAGTGGTTAGTGGGAATGGGAATGGGAAGTGACTGCTAATGTGTATAGTGTTTCTTTTTGAAGTGTTGAAAGTATTCTAAATTTAGATTGTGATGATGGTTGTACAATTCTGTGAATAGACTAAAAATCACCGAATTATGCATTTTAAATGGATGAATTTTATGGTGCATAAAATATATCTCAATAAACCTGTAAAAAAAAAAATATTGGGCAAGATATTCAAAGCAGTGTCATTTATGGAAGGCAAAACAGGGAATAACCCAAATGCTGCTGTCAATAATAAGGGAACAACTGAGTAAATATCACTCAGTGAATGGAATTTCATGCACTTAGTAGAAAGATACCTATTTTAAAAGTTTATGATGTAAGAACGTTAGTGTAAAATATGTGGCTATAAAATTACATGTACATTTTTTTTTTCCTTTTTGTCTTTTTTACTGACCGGTAATGGGATCACAACCCTCGGTGTCGCGCCCGTACCGGGGACTGGCAACGGGATCGCGCCCCTCAGTGTTGCGCCCGCACCGCGCTCAGCCAGTGAGCGGGAACCGGTCTCCACACCGCGCTCAGCCAGTGAGCGGGAACCGGTCTCCACACCGCGCTCAGCCAGTGAGCGGGAACCGGTCTCCACATGGGATCCGAACCCTCGGCGGGAGCGCCTCCGCACTCCCAACCGGCGCACTCTCCAGTGCGCCACCAGGCCGGCCCTTACATGTACATTATAATTACAACTATCTATAGCATATATGCATGCAAAAAATGGAAGAAACTTTCTTACTTTTTTTCCTTTAATGTTGTTATTACTTATAAAGGTACTAAACACAAATCAAGCCATATTGAACAGAAAGGACATTAACATGATCATTTAGTCCCTTACTTAACACCACAAAAGGCTATATCTAAACTGTTGGGTATAGTTGGGAAACTTTTACAAATACATCCCCCAGGAATGAAAAAAAGCAACCTCCTAATTTCACCCTTATAATCCTAAACCAGTGACGTTGTCTAATGCTGAGAACATTGTACTGTGAAAATCAAATTAAAGCGACACTAAACAACAAACAGAATCTGCTAATTAACTAGGAAAATAAGAACAGACCTTCAGAAATTTCTTTGTCCAGGGATTTTAGCTCTTCTTCAATTTCAGTTTTAACTTTTAATAAAACTTCTTGATCCAGAGATTGTGAAGCTACATTTAGTTGAACCCCTGAAATCAACAAAAAACCATTACCATTGAAAGAGAAAGAGACAAGCTGTTAGAAAACAGTAGTATTCAAAATCAAAACTCATTCTCAAGGCTAGGGAGGCTAGAGATACTTTTTATAAGGGAGGCTAGAGATACTTTTTATAATAATTAAGGGAAAAAACCCTTGGGCCTGTGTACTGAGAGTGAAGTCTCATAAAAATAGAATAGAATAAGCCTCCATCTTTCCAGATGTTTCTGCCTGGAACAGGAAAAAAAAGGCAGAACCTTCAGAAACACATTAACTCAACAGGAGAGTGAGAAAAGACTGGCATTAATATGCATAAGTCCTTTCTTTTTGTATACAATGTATTCTTTATAAAAAAAAAAAAAAAAAAAAAAAAAAAGGGGGCCAGCCTGTGGCTCACTTGGGAGAATGTGGTGCTGACAACACATTCAAGGGTTCAACAAGTCAAGGGTTAAGATCCCTTAACCGGTCATCTTTAAAACAAACAAAAAAAAGTATGAAAGCTACAAATGATAAAGCCAAATAAAAGAATGGTGTTATTTTAGTGGTGGTGAGAGAAGTCCATTCTTTCCACTTCAAATTATACAGATCCCTAATTGTACCTCACTTTTAGACACATTTTTAAATGTACACTTCTAGCATTTTATACAATTTTCTTTCTCCCCCCCCCTCCACATTTGAACACAACTTGATAGCTGCTTAAATCCACAAAGCATACAACTGAGGCTAAAGATTCATCACTTCGGGCATAATGATTTGTCTCCATGGTATTAGATTTGTAAGACTTATGCTCATCCCCAGTCTCTTATGTTTATTACTGGTACTTCCATTTTTCCACTAATTTTTTAAAATGCAACAAGATACTCATATATCTGTGCAAGCACTTGTGTAAGAAAAAAAAAAGAAGATATTGCTGAACCACTGTCATTTGACAGTCTAAAATCAGATTAGTCAGTTTTAACAATGTCGATGCTTAATAATAATAGCCAATACCAAATGCCAGGCACTATTCTAAGCACTTTGTATGCATAGGTATCTATGTACATATGTACACACACACACACACACACTCACTCTCTTTCATTAAATCCTCATAATAACTCTTTGTGATAGGTACTATTATTATCGTCATGTTGCAGGTAAGAAAACAGGCATAGGGAAGAGACCTGATCATGCACAGACAGCAGAGCTCAGATTAGTTTAGTTTCAGGGTTTGGGCTCTTAACCACTATACAACACTGCCTCTCAGCATGCTTGAAAGTACAGGCTACATAATAAACACCCAAAAGTCCAGTACTGCCTCTATGATAATGATCTCCTAATCACAGCAGTTCTTAGGCTTTTTTGGATTTTAGCCCTTTAGAGAACATGAATAGAATAACGGCTCCCCTTCCCAGAACATTCAGCAAACAATTTCAGGGCATTCATGGACTGTCACAGGACCTTCACAAGCCTTGGTTTAAAAACTTCACTAATTATCACTTAACTCTCCTTCTTCCCTTCCTGGACCCCACATACCCATGCTCATTGCATAGCACAGTCCTCTTTCATTTGGTTAATGTGCTACAGTTTTGTGTTATTGTGCAACCTGACAATGCGAAGTGGTCAATGATCAGCACTAAAGGGCCAGGGAGGTCAATCAAGAAGAACAATCTAGGCATGAGGGGGGAAATTTATCAAAGAAAAGAAAGATACAAATCTTTTTAAGAGAATAGACCATACATAAAAGGAGAACAAAAGTTTCTCCTGAAGGTTCTAAGTGGGCAAATTTTGGGGTATGGCAGCTTTTAAAGCTTATAGCTTTAAAAAGCTTACATAAAGTGCAAGTTCTTGCAACATTATATTCTTTCATAAATAGATAAATTTTTCTTCTTGTTTCAGATGACTTCAGTACTGTAGAGCAAAGATTTCCATTTAAACAAGAAATTTTTGATAAAAAGAGTCAAACCAACTGACACTCAGCAGAATTCACATTCCTGGGACATAGGCCAAATTCACAATCATACCGATAATCCTGGCTTGGTTTTTACCGAAGGCATTCAAGAAGTCAGTATAATTCTGAGCCATTCTAGGAATCTGGTTCATTTCTGGGACTTATATACAAGCTTATCTGAACACCCAGAGGATGCTGAATCAAATACTTAGTGACCAAACTTTAGTTAAACAAATTTTCATCTCCCTGAAGACCTGAGATAAACAGATTGTTACAGGTGACAAGTCCCTACTTGGGTGAAGGGGAAGGGCCCTGAGGTCAACTATACTCTTCTCCTTTGCAAGATTCTCAGCAAAAGGAAAAGCAGCAGGATTTGGGCCATCAAGTTGTAGACTTGGGCCGGCCTGTGGCTCACTCGGGAGAGTGTGGTGCTGATAACACCAAGGCCACGGGTTTGGATCCCATATAGGGATGGCCGGTTGCTCACTGGGTGAGCGTGGTGCTGACAACACCAAGTCAAGGGTTAAGATCCCCTTACCAGTCATCTTTTAGGGAAAAAAAAAAAAAAAGTTGTAGACCTACCTACTAGTCATTCATTAACTGAAAAAAATTTTAATGAGTACCTGCTATTTATCAGGTATAGTCCTGAGTATCCAACTACCACAAAAATGAATACGATTTGTCCAGCCCCTGAAACTGTTTACAGTGTAGAGTTCAGAAGGTACAGGAAGACAGTTAGCGTTTACAAGGTACCTGTTATTTAACAGGTACTGTGGTAAATATTTCATATGGGTTATTTTATGTAATTTCCAAGTCATCTTTATGAGGGATGAAATAATAGTTCCATTTAAAGAAGAGGAGGGGCTAGCCAGTGGCTCACTTGGGAGGGCAAGTAACAGATAACACCAAGGTCAAAAGATCTGGATCCCCTTACCAGCCAGCTTCCAAAAAATAAATTTTAAAAAATTTAAAAGGAAACTGAAGTTTGGATAGGTTGCATAACTACTATCAAAGAGATGTATTTGAACTCAGGTCAGTCTCACTTGAAAACCATTAATCCAGGATTTGTTCTTCTCATCTTCTGGCTGGGTGGCCAGGAAAGAAATACCTCAGGAACATTTCTGACATAAAGTTGTTTAGATCAGTGATAATAATGTCTTTTGACACTGACATGCATAGTCTCTTATTTAATCTTCACTTCATACAATCTGCAGTTCAAGAGAAGGCCTGTTATCACCAACAGATTTACATTCCTCATCTTAAGAAAACTATGAATATACCAGAAGTATTGGGCACAAGGTATTCTCATGCACTAAAAGCAAAAGGAAGGTCTTGGCTTTTAGCACAGAATGGGAAACAAAGGGGGAAAGTCTGAAGGAGAAAATCAGACCAGACACTTGACAATTTTCTCCTGCCTCAGATATTTGGAGCAGAGTTTCATCATTTAATCCAGAACACTGAATTCAGATATGACACCCCTCTCATTCAGAATATATTTACAGTCACATATTTTTAGAACTTTTTCGGTTGTTTACATCACCATTTTCTACCACTCACAAGTTTTATAAAGAGAAAGATTGGTTGTTTATATGTTTTCATTTCTTGCATGCAAATTAAAGAATTCCAAATTCAAAGATGGGCCTTGAATTAATTAATCTTATTAATTAAGGTCAAGAAACTTGATTATTCTAGCATCTCTGGGTCTTTAAAATATCTTTGAAAAACAAAAGGTTAAACATTTCTATCAATCACAGGTTTTGATTAATTTTCAACTTTCAAAGCTGACAAAAATAATTTTCCTTTAGGCCACATAAAACGTTTTCCTTATGAGCTGAGACTAACCAAAATAAAATTCAGACGCTTAAAATAGTTTTTTTGTGTGGAAAACATAAAATTCCTTAGGTGTTTCTAGCTGAAGTGCAACAGAAAGGATCCTCCATGCCATGGTCACCACACACTTTGAGAACAACACTTCACTTATTTCTGCCCATATAAACACCACTTTACTTGTACAGATAGGCTTTTAATAAATCTCAGATATTGTGTATAATTATAATTGGTTTTCCTTTTAGAAATAATTTGTAGTTTTTGCGTGGCTCTGATTAATATAACTGTACCAATTAATATAACTGTACTAGGTAAAGTGACCTCCAGAATATATTGTGACATTATTAAAAGAAAACAAACACAGACTGGAGAATTAATTTAAGCTCAATCTTATTTCTTCAATAAAATAATCTTCCTCCCTTCCAGCTCCTGAAAGGCAGTCCGGCAAAGTGGAAGAGAAGCTTTGGAGTCAGGCATTCCAACTCATCACTACATGCGACCTTGGGCAAGGAAAATAATCTTCTCGAGTCTCTTCTCTTATATAAAATTGGGAAAATAACACCTACCACAAAGGGTTGCTGTCAAGGGTAATGAAATAAGTAAGTTAAGTCCCATCAAATCAAAAATGCCTAAGAGATAGTGGCTCCCACTCACTAATCCTTTTCATTCTCTAAAATGTTGTTACTATTTGACAATGATCTTTCCCCAACCCTTATCATCTCTATGAACAGAAATCAGCTCATCACAAATTTCTAATCAATGATGCTTATACCGAACCTGCTTTCTAACACTGCAAGAGTTAGGATCAGCAGGACAACCTTCTTTTTTTTTTTTTTTTGTCTTTTGTCTTTTTTCCGTGTCCGGCAACGGATCGCAACCCTCAGTGTTGCCCCCGTACCGGACTGGGGACCGGCAACGGGATCGCAAGCCTCGGTGTTGCTCCCGCACCTCGCTCAGCCAGTGAGCGGGAACCGGTCTGTATATGGGATCCGAACCCTCGGACGGGAGCGCCGCCGCGCTTCCCAAGCGGCGCACTATCCAGTGCGCCACCGGGCCGGCCCAGCAGGACAACCTTCTGAGAGTTAAAATAAACCTTTCTTTTACCTTTTGATACTCCTTCAAACGTACTTCCATGACAGAAGTAGGAAAACAACCAGGTTGAAAAAAGTTTTGGTTTGTCCTCTAAACTCCACAAAAACATTTCAAACTTAATATTTGCTTTTCTGCTCTTGACCT